GTGTGTGTGTGTGTGTGTGTGTGTGTGTGTGTGTGTGTGTGTGTGTGTGTGTATTCCATATTTCTACTTAAAATGTGTTTTACTCAAAGCAGCTTTCTACTTGCGTTGGACACTGTTCATGTCACTCTGTTATTAAATGAAGGATTACTTGCAAACCTGCTGTAACTTTTTAAAATACATTTTAGAAGAATCATTATGTTTCTTTGTTTATTTATGTAAATTCTTTAAGCTTTAATGTCATGTTCTGTTGATGAATGTAGTCCAGTTAAACCTAATTATAGTGACGATGATAAAAAATAATGACAAAAGAAACATTCAAAGACCCACAGTGATCCTCGTGTCACTGGAGGGTGATACCACTCCTACCTGTTTGGCCATATTTGTATTTTGATAGCAGAGTTATGATCTAGAAACTTTTTTATAAACTGACTTGTCTATCCAGCCTTATATTTTGGAGCCAAATTCTAACCCAGAACCATAGGAGAATGAAGACAACAAACCTGCAGAACTGCTGATTTGCAAAATTGGCTAGCTGGAAGTCCATGACCTTGTTCAGCAATTCTGCAGCAAATACTGTGACGTGATACATAACAGGAGAAAACTAATGGGATAAAAAATATCACCCACATAGAATATCAACATATCTACACAGGACCAGGAGAGATTAATATAACTTTTCTGCACTCCTAGAAACTCTAACAAAATGTATTTAAGGGATAAAAAAGGGTGTTTTTCATAATATGTCCTTTTTAAATTTAATTAGTGGACATCTAATTTGCAATAAATTATCCGCTATTAGTTATACTTGCAGCCAAACATTAAATTATTAAAATATTTTAACCTAATGCTAAATTGACAGAAAAAAGTTAGTAAAATAACGTTTGTATGAATTACTCTGTAACCTTTTGAGATGGGAGTTATTTTAAAATGACAGCAATCCACTTTGTGCTTAACCCTGATCGGATTAGCTCAGATTAGGTCAGAATTTATCATTTATTTTTGCAACTATGCTACAGGTAAAATACTAATTGTTCATTCCCTTAAAGATCCATTTACTGTCAATGTTGATAAAATCATGATTTATTGTTTGTTTGTTTTTGCATTTGCAGATGCAGTTGTGTACAGTTATTATCCTGTTTTATTTTGGCGGTCTCATGCATCTCATGGTCGTACCTCTCTGACCTTCATCTCCTTGTATTGTTTTCATTGTTTCCACCTTTGTTTCATCAGCCCTTGTTTGTAGAATTAATCCAACCTTCTTACTGCCCTTGTTATTCTGCCTGTTCTCCCTGTTTGTTGTATTCAGCTGAGTTGCGCTGGTTTAACCTGTTTTGCATGCACGCAGGGGATTTTCTGTTGTTTTTGTGTTGCACGGTTTTAAGTCTTTAGGTCGGGTTGAATAGCTGTTTTCTGGGGAGGGTTCCTACAAAGTGAAATGACCCAGACGTAGAATATCAGCCTTGATCAGAACTGGTTGAGATTTTTTTTTAAATTACAACAGAAAGGAGCTGCAGTGCTTTCCTTCTTGTTCAGCATAATATAAGGTTCTGGGCCATGTGTCCTTTTATAGAAAGAAAAGGAGATTATGCAATTCAATCTAAAGCTTTGTTGCAGCATCTTTCACAACAGCACCATGGTATTACTAATCAGAACTCATTCAAATACATACAAGGTCCAGACTGGAAATGTGAGCCTGTTTAAATCATCATAGATCTATAATTCTATCATGCATTTTTTCTGTATACAGTGTATAAAATTTACCAACACTTTTAATAAAGGAATAGTTTGTGAGTATGATGTATTTCAAATATCCTCTGAACACAGTGTGAGATTCTTATTTTTACTCAAACTACCTAATGTCTTTAAACATAATTAGCACAAAACTAAGGGCATTTACGTCTGGTAGATTATTTGTTGTAATGATGCTTCTTGGTAAAAAATCTTATACTGTTGGAAAGCCTGTTTTCCTTTTTTAATTGTGCCACATTTGTAAGGAACATACACTTGTAGGATCAGCAGTAAAGCTGAGTATGTGGGTTGCACAAATGAAAAATGTGTCAAATCTTTGCCAAACATCTAATTTGGTTGTCGTTATTGACACTTGTTTTGTGCTTCAGGTACCACCAGATGCTGCCAATCAGATGCTCGCTATAAAATCTATTGTCAAGAAGCATTGTTACAACAAACGGATCATATACCAAACACAACTTCTCTTACTTTTTGTGCTCAGTTTAGGTTTTAAAGAACTGTAGCATTACAAGCACATTACCCATTTTTCACTGAATAATGACTGGCCGCCTTTCATTGTGGCTTTCTGTCATGTTTTTAGCTCAGTGTGCATGTCAGTGTTTGTTAGCAAAATATCTCATAAACTAATGGTGGATATAATAGTGGATAAATTTGAACTGAACTCTGAAAAGATGATCATTTGATCCACATCCTACACTGTAAAAATAATTTGTAAGATTTACTAGAGAAAATCCTGTAAACGATTTGCACTGACGTTTGGTAAGTAAATTTAAATGCTACAAATTCATGTAATATTTACTCTCATCATTATCTAGAAAAAGTTATTAAGAATATAGTTAAAGATTTGTGAATAAATCAGGTCAATTTTACTTAATTTGCTCAATTAAATCTTGTATCATATACTTGATCAAATTAAGTCAAATTTACCTGATTTATTCACAAATCTTTAACTATATTCTTAGTAACTTTTACCAGATAATGATGAGTAAATATTACATGAATTTGCAGCTTTTAAATTTACTAAACAAACTTTAATGCAAATTGTTATGATGATTTTTTTCTAGTAAATCTTACAAGTTCTTTATAACAGTGCACATGCGTCAAGCACAATATTGTAGCATGACACCTCACAGCTACAGAGAGAGGTGTAGCTCTTATTGTAGGTCAAGACTTCACCACCAGGGGGCAGTTTTGAAGAACCTTTATTGGATTATTTTTCATGAACAAAACAGACAAAGTGAAACTCACAGGTCTTATTAATGACTAGGCCTACCACTCTCACTTGTGGTTATTCTGCTGAATGGTTTAACACAAGTTAACAAATAGTGAACACAAATTAAAGTAACACAACAGACTAATTGCTGAAAGAACATAGTTAACCAGTTCCCTAAAATGATTTAACAACAACAAACATGAATCCTACCCACAATCCTCCACTGCAGTCACATGACAAACAGCCAAACACAGCAGAATGCTACAATATGCATCCCCTGTTCCCTGACAACTAAATATCACCTACATTATGCCATCAAGCTATTGCACACCAACAAATGTATTCAAGCAAAAGAAACCAGACAACTTGTGTTTTCTTTAGACCGTGTCTTGTCCTCTCCTTGAAAAGTGAAGCAAGAGAATGAGGAGCAGCAGCCTTTGTGTGCACATGCGCCCCCAGTTTTAGCCCAGAAGAGTAAAAGTTACTTAATATATTCATGTTTATGTGCTGTCCTGAAAAAGGTCTTAAATATTACTGATAAAATAATATTAGCATTTACCTTTTT